AAAAAAAAAAAAAAAAAAAAAAAAAAAAACACATCTTAGTAAAACCAATACCTTCTCAGCTTCGCATCGAAGCTAAAAATAAATAAAACATTGTGTTTTATTACAAATTTACAACATTGATAATATTTGGTAAACAAATTTCATATTTTATTAAATAAAATAAAATGACATATTATTTATTAACATGAAATAATTATAGGGATTTATTTAACAGTTCATAATTTCAATTATTTAGTATTTAATTACCCCTCATTAAGCTTCATAGAAAGCTTGAATTCTTCTTACAATAGATTTTGTAAGTTTCCTACAGTAAATTTGACTAAATTTTGTCAAGCAAAGGCTATTTCTTTTTTTAACTCATCGAGATTGGGCATATGTTCATCTTTGATCATTATCTCAAATTGATCCCAAGCATTTTCTATTATGTTGAGGTCTGGGGAACGGACAGGCCATTTCAAAAGAGGAATTTGGTTATCACTCATCCATTTTGAAGTTTTCTTGAATGTGTGACATAGAGCATTATCTTGCTAATAATATCAAATTTTGTGTCTTCCAAAAACTTTTTTTTAAAAGGAATTCTCTATAATTTGGATGTATTTGTCACTATTTACTGTAACTTAAACAAAATGCAATTCCTCAGTTCTTTTTTTTAACAAGTAGCCCCAAACCATTATATAATCACCGCTTTTCTGCACTTTGGTGGCAAGACAATTGCTATTATATTTCTCACTATTCATGGCGTCTCACTCGTTTTAATCGTTTAGAAAAGAGTTTGAAAGATTATGTTTCTAAATAAATTAGTTGAAATAACATATAATATACGTTTTTACGTAATTTTTACCTATTATATTGAAAATATTAACAGTACATTACCAAAAATATCTAATTTTACCTTGATAAAAATTCTTATTAATAGCTTGTGGTTTGAATATTTTTAACTGAATCTACTTGAAAATGTTTTTTATCAAACTTAATTATCCAAATAACATGTAGAAAAAAAATTACGCAGTTGGGTGTTGGTAAATTTTTTTTTAAAAGCCTTTAAAATGATTTAATGGCTGAAATTTGCTGTATTTGCAAAAATAGCATTTTTAACGAAAATGTAAGTAAAAATTAAGTTGCAAATAGAACTAATGCAAAATAAGCGGTTTTCTTTTAATTTTTTGAACACATAATATGCAGAAAAAAAATTCAAGCTTTTACTTGATGATTTAAACGTATATGATTGTGTACAAGCCCAAAATCTAAACGCGTGAAATATAAAATTGGGGGTATCTTATAATTTTGACCACTACTGTATACCCAGAAAAAATAACTAAAATTAATTATCGTTGATTAAAAAATTACTTTTATTTTTACTCGTGAAAGCAGGGTCATATTTATGAAAAAACATTTGTACTGAGCACACTCAAAAAAATAGTTCCCG